GTGGTGGTGGCGGCGATCTGAAACCTGACTGAACTGTAGCCGACTGTGACGGCCTCTGTTGTGACCCTCTACCACTAGTGGTGCCTACTCCCTGACTCAGACAATCTCGAATCAAATGGCCCTGCTGGCCACACCCATAACAAGCTCTCGATGGCGCAGAAACTATGGTTGAGTTCATAGGACATCTGGACTTGTAATGTCTAGGCTGCTGACACTGATAACAAACAACTGTACTCTTATCTGACCCAGCTAGCATAAGAGTGGTATGAACAGATCTTGCAAACAGCTGCCCCTGAAACTGAGATAACCACCCCTGTTCCTCTTTCTGAAGGTCCCTCTGGAAATGACCCTGCATTCCTCTTTTGTTTCCACTGTTCCCTTCTTGCATCTTTATCTTTGGCCTCCGCCTCTAGCATCAATGCTCTTTCCACTGCTTCACAATAAACCTTGATGCCCTGTGTTGTTAACAACGGCCTTATCTTGTAGTCAAGTCTGGAGATAAACATCCGAACCTTATCAACTTCATTACTCACCATCTCTGGAGCAAAGTAGGAAAGAGAAGTGAACTTATTCTCGTACTCTGTCACTGACATATTGCGTTGGATAAGGTCAATAAACTGATCTTTTAACTCCCACCTCATGGGGGCAGGAAAATACTTCTCATAGAACAGCTCCTTAAACCTATCCCAACTCATCTCTTCAATCTTATACTGATTTGTGATCGATTTCCACCAAAACTTGGCATCCTTTATAAACTTGTAAGTGGCTAGAATGATTTTCAAATGATCATTTGTTACATCCATAGAAGTCAATTGAGTTTCAACTTGCTCCATGTAGTCATCCGTTACCATGGGATCTGCACCGCCTTCAAACATCACTGGTATCAACTGAGAAAACCCTTTAATAATCTTGAGACGCTTCTGTGCTGGCGTCTCCTCTACTTGCACTACCGGTTGTGGTACCGGCTACGGTATCGGCTGCGGCTGTGTAGCAATGGTGGCCCTCAAGGCCTTCTGCAACAAGCGATTCAATACTAGTTCCACCGAACTTTTACCCTCTTTAACGGGTGCTTCCACATTATCCCTCCTTGTAAGAACACTTCTAGGGGTAATCAAATCCCTAAAAAGTGTGTCCTCATTAACTAGCTCCGCCGGATTGGAGCTCGAGCTCTCGCCAACATCACCCCTTGTTGGCCTAGGGCCAACTTCCCTTAGTTCCTCACACCGTGACATCGTTCTATAAAATAAAGAAAACAGTTCAATAACGATAACACTAAGGTCCAACCATGAACAACTCAACATAAAAAGATGTTATACTAACACTTAGCATGAAATACTATGCAATGAACACATTAATATAAGCATAGAAGCACATAAGCACGTAAACATATAAACAGTTAAGCATGCCTTTTCACGTAGCAACACTTTTGCAATTAAGGAATTAACAATGCGAATGACTTCCCAGACAACCCTATGTAGGCCTCTACCCGTCGTCCTAATGGTTTTCGAACTAAAGCTCTGATACCAAATTTGTAATGACCCTAAACTGATGCCATTAATAAGAAAAAAATTCGGCATGACCTCTGCTACAAATCGTCCTACAACAACCTGTTTAAATGCATTTTTAACCTGTCCCAACACAATAAACATCTAATACATTCCATGGTGGTACAACCACATACTATATCATCCAGGTATCATAATTACAGTCCCAAAATACAAGATTAATATCAAATGTCCATGTTTTACAACATTTAGACAGCTTATATAAAAGTTACATCCCATAGGTATAATTATAATATTAAAAGTCCATAAGTCATCGTACAAAATACATTATGCTTAGTCTTACAAAAATAGTGAGACCCAAGTACAAAAATAACAAAATAAGCTCCTAATCCATACTAAGTCTGGTAAAATGTCATCCGTCACTTCTTTCCCGTTTCCTGAAAAATGTTAAATATATGGGATGAGCAAAATTGCTCAGTAGGTAGTGCCCAAGACACACCTCTTATGTCCCCGTGAATCCAAACAAGGAATAGGACAATAGGAATCGGGGTCATACTATGTCAGGAAAGTATAACATTAAATCCAATCTCAGCATGCACAATATGATGCTATGAAATGCAATGCATGCAGATGTCACTCCCCATTTTCAACATTCAAATCCATCACTTTCAAACTGTTAATATAACCCGCCCTTTGGTGACCCCGCAGCGACACGAGAGAAGGATTGGCTAGTGTTCCTGACCTTGGTATCCCCGCGACGTCATTTTGGGCCCAACTAGCTCAACCACGCTAGGGCAATCTCCCTAATTCCCTCTAGGCTATATTAACACACCGGCCCTTCGATAACCCTGCGGCGACCGAATTTTTCATAAAACATTTTAATCAAAGCTTCTTCCCCAAAATTCCCTTTTTCATTTCAAAACAATTTTTCCCATTTTCATGCCCAGTGACATGCATGAACATTACATACTTTCTCAAATGCCATGACAAATGAAAGACTTTTATACTATACAATTTAACATGCTTCCATTTAACAATTTCTAATAAGTTATGAACACCATATGCATGAAAAATTAACACGTATACATGCTTTCCACATAGTAAGTTTTAACAAGTTATCAAACACACCAGCATATAAAATCAACATTTTAAACATGTTTTTCACACAAATCCACATATACACAAAATCATGAATTCCATATACAAAACCAAATCATTTTAGAGGCATTCATCTCAAATTAAGCATGTTTAACTATAATTAACAAAGAATAAGGGAGCAAGAATCTCATGGAATAGGAACCCCTACCTCATTTTTATGCAAAACTCCCAATTTTCACCTCAAACCCTCAAAATGGGTCTCAATTTTCGGACTTCCTAGAGTAGCCAAAAGCTGAAATTGCTAGTATGGATTTGAAGACCTCATCGTGGGCTTCAATTTGCCGCAAATGACATTTAAAAACACGAAGAATAGAGAGAGAAATCAAGCCTTGAATTTGTAAAATAAAAAAATAAAAAAATAAAAAATAAATAAATAAAAGCAAAGAGAATGCCGAGAGGAAGACAGAGAGACAGAGACGGGAGAGAGGGATTGAGATTACAAAGAGCTAAAACAAACGTGGTCTTATGACCACTTAAACCATTAGTGGGTACCACCCATTTTTTTTTTTAATTTTCTTTTCTTTTTTCTTTTGTTTTTAACTTACACCACACATATATATATATATATATATATATATATATATATATAATTAAATCATAACATTACAGAAATCTTCGGGTCAAGCACTTGGCGTGACACCAGATTAAGAATTTGAGTCTAGTTCTTATATTAACTGTAACGGATCAGTTGTTTTGCAGTTCGATACAAAAAATTAAATTTAATTGATTAACAACATGAGTTAAGAGTGGGGGAGAAATTTGAGCAAATTGCATTGTCAAGTTATAGAAAATGACCATCGACTCTTCTCTTGGTTGACGCTCTGGTGTAATTTTATTGGCACTCCCCTGATATTTTGTCAAATAATTGCACATGGCTTTTAAAGTTATGACAGTCCCCCACCAAATTGAAATCAATATATGGCTCTACTCACATTTAATGTGATATTTTTCAGTCTAATACTTCAAAACTCCTCTGTGGAAGTTTGACAAATAAGCAGAAGTCCACTCTCAAAGACTTACTCGCAAGTCCCAATTATTCTAGTAATAAAAATATTTTTTGTTTCTATAAAATAATAATTTTCAAAAACATGTTGCCCCAGTAGACTTGAAAAGTAGATTCTTCACCAACCTGAACAAATTATGACAATTTTATTTTCCATTGTCTCTTCAAATGCTTGTGAAGGCAGACTATAATTAAGGTAAAACCTACAATCCTTAACCTTTATCAAGATGCCACAAAGAGTTTCAAAGTTTGAGTTTACAATCATAATTTTCTGTTCATTAATAGTCAGCATATTCGAGTATGAAATTTGCCCACTTCATTTGGCTTTACTTTGTTTCATATTAGTTAGGTGTTCATTTTACCTTTTGAACGCAAGCTTCTGTTATTTACTTTTTCCATTACTTTTATTCTTCTTAGTAAATGCAATTTTGTTGATTTATTTTTTGGCCTTCCTATTTGATTCATTATATATATATTGATGTTAACCATTCACTTCACTTGGTTTCAGATTACTGTCAGATTTAGCTGCAATATACATCAGCACATTTTCTGACTTTTTAAGCAACCTTGGTAAAAAGCATAAAGTCGGAAAATGTGTTGATTTAAATGTTACGCAATAAAAAACTAGTAAAAGTTTCATTGAGATTCTCTAATGGTTTTTATATAATTATTTTTCTATATTTTAATCTTTATATATGTGTGTGTTAATCCTTTCATGGTTGACTAATGTCAATTTTTTTTGCTCTGTTAAGCCTTGCTGAGCTCTTTATGTATATCTTATCATCACCTCCTATATGGTTCTTTTCATTTCCTTCTAGCTCTGTTTAGTTTTTGAGGAAAACTAAGGGGGAAAAAAAGAGAGAAGAATTAAATTAACATCTGGTTCTTTTGTTTTAACTCGCTCAAGTAAATGTGCAAGGCTGAACTTAGTTGAGTAGGTGTTGTATTATAACGTTTTCCTTTCATCTGGTTTCTTATTAACCAAACAGAGGATTAGACTGAACCCATAATTTCAAAAAAAAGTTTTGTTTGTCCTTTTTTATGAGTTTAATGTCAAAGTTTCATTCAAGCTACTAACAAACATATTGTTTTACCGGCGGGTTTTATGCATTTTTACCTTAATTTTTTACCGGCACTGATATCAATAAATCTTGTAGTCTCAGTTGTTTAAAAAACATCTAAATGAGAAGCACCTGTCATAAAGTTGTGTTACATATTCGTCCAATTTTGTGAAACATGACTTTCATTTAATTATCATCATTCATTGAATGTATCCAATTGAAACTTTAACGGTTTCATTGTCAAAAGGGGAATCCTTCACCAATGGCAAACCAAAGTTCTCACAGTAGTGAAGTAAATGAACATTTATGTAGACAAACAACTATTTCCAAGCTTCTACATAATTTTCCATATGTTGATTCGCTATTTTTAGATGACTAATTATCATTGCTTTTATCCCAAACAGTGACTACAAAAATAAATTTCACCCAACTTTCTTCAGTATGACATTGAACATGCCACTCTGAAATCTATATGTGTGTGCGCGCGCGCGCTAGATTCTGCAGTTACAAGCTATTTAACTTACAAGTTTGGGATCAAATTATATTAGTACAATTAAGACATGGTATAGAAAGAGAAAGAAAAAAAAAAAAATTATAATACAAGCTCTAATTCTCTGCAATAAATTAGCTGGCTCTTGTGTATGGTTAAAATTGCAACAAGAACTCTAATATGCAAGTAAATTTGGGGCATGACTTGAGTGTACCATGCTAAAGATAATCCTTCAATTACCAAAAGAAGAAGCAAGCTCCAAGTAGTTTACTCTACACGTGTAAGTGTAGCTTCCTCATCTTCCCTGTGGTCTAAAACTGGAATGCAGGTTGTCAAAGTGTAATGGCTGCTGATCAACAAAGCTACAGGAAGAACCCGAGCGAGTACATGTAAGTGATCTCTCAATTTCACATATTTTTGCTACAAATGATAGTGGGCGATCTGGATTCTGGGGAACCATAGCATGGTTAGTTTCCAGTATATTTACAATCTGTTCCATAGTTGGCCTAGCATATAACTGCGGATGAGTGGACAGAACAGCAATCAGAACATAATTTTCCATCACTTCAGGCAAGCCCAACTCAGGAATACTTTTCTCAATAACATCCATCACTCTATCCTCCCTCACTTGTGACCAAGCCCAATCTGTCAAAAGCTGAGCTTGACCCCCATCAAAAGACAAAACTGCATTTTTCCCACTCAATAGCTCAAGAAGCACAACCCCAAAACTGAATACATCACTTCTCTCTGTTAATTGCCCATACAAAGCATATTCCGGGGCAACATAACCAAGGGTGCCAGCCACTTTAGTACTCAAATGTGACAATCCATCTGGTGTGAACTTTGCCAAGCCAAAATCTGCGAGTTTTGGTTCAAATGCCTCATCTAAAAGAATGTTACTGGCTTTAACGTCTCTGTGGATGATAGCCGGCTGAGCAGCATTGTGTAAATAAGCCAATCCGCGTGCCGTTCCAAGTGCAATCTTTCTACGAATCGGCCAACTAAGCCTTGTTTCCTGTGATCCAAAAAGATGGTCATAGAGGCTTCCATTACGCATCAAATCACACACCATTATTCTCTGGTGCCCTTCTAGAGGATCCGTTGCAGTGCAATACCCTCTGAATGCAACAAGGTTAACATGCCTAACACTAGCAACCACCTCTACTTCATGTGTAAATACTGCATCCCCAGAAATAGAACAATTTTTGAACCTTTTCAATGCAACTTCAGACCCATCTTTTAGAATGCCTCTATAAACATTCCCATATCCTCCTTTTCCAATTAGATTCCCCCTAGAGAAATTTCTAGTAGCCTCTTTCATTTCCTGAATTGTGAACTTGACCAAAGTAATACTTTCACTAATCAATCCCAAAGCTGAAGCTGAACTTATCGCGCTTCTATCAACATATTCTTTCTTCGTCCTCCTTTGCTTGTGCCATCTCCAAAGAAAGCATAACACAGCAACTACCCCCGAGAAGCTAATAACACATCCTATCACAACCCCTCCAGGTAAAGGGTTGTCCTTCTTGGTACTTTTAACAGCTACAACGAGATCAATCGAGAACAAACACTTCGCAGTCCCTAAATCAATTGGCCCAAACTGATTAGCAAAAGCTGCAGCATACATGAATGGGTACCCGGTACAATCTGTGACATTCCCAATTCCGGTGCCATGAAAATAGGCCTCTTGGATACCTGACAAGCTAGCTACACACGACGCACAAGTTGTATTGTCCCCAAGGGATTGATTGCATAAACGCCTGATTTCTTGTAATTGCGGTTCAGAAATTAAGGCTTCAAACTCTGCCCGAGTTGAGATATTCATACAACTATTTGAAATCCAACCAGTTTGAACCTCACAATTGGATCTTACATCGAACACAGTTAGGTCTTCGTTAATGCCGATCTGATATGAATCCCAACAAGCATCAGAGGCGCTAGGAGGAATAGTAAAAAAGCCAGTGCTTTGAAGGTATTGGGATCGAACTATACGAATTGACTGAAGAAGGTAATAGCACTCTGTTGGGACATCGATAAACTTTTGGTTCAGCCCTGGAGAGCTGTTCTTGGCCATTGCTCTAAGCTCAACAAAGTTGAATGGACAAAGAGAATCAGCAGCTAGTTTTCTTGGTTTTAAAGCATTGGAAGCAGATTCAGAAAACCCAGTACCAAATACAAGGAACATGAACAGAAAGAGGGACATTTTGAGTTCTAGGGCTTTCAAACAATATTTGCTCAAGAACCCATTTTGGTTGCCTTGATTTTCTAGAAAGTGGAATTATTGGAGTGAAGCAACTTGTAAGTTGCCGGTCAACTGATTTTTTAAATTTGGATGTATTGAGAGTGATTACTTGGACCTAATGAATGACCTATAATTAGCCCATCGTTGATAATAATAAAAAATATTATAAAATAATAAGTAAGGTTATAATTCATTAGAAGATTCTAATAAACAGTGTCTAATAAAAACTCTTTGTCACGATTGAGACAAAGAATTGAAAAGATGCTTGAAAGTTGCCGATTAATTTTTTTAATTTGGATGTCTTGAGTGTGAGTACTTGGGACCTAATGAATGACTTATAATTAGCTCACCGTTAATAATAAAAAAAATATTATAAAATAATAAGTAAAATGACAATTCGTTAGAAGACTCCAATAAATAGTGTTCAACAAGAACTCTCTGTCGCAATTGAGATAAAGAATTGGGAAGAGACTGTTTTTTCTCTTAGAAATTATAATATTTTTATCAATGATTGGCACCTTATAAAAACCGACCTACACTTCTATCATTTTCCTTGCAAAAATGATTCAACTATCTAAAAGTTGTAGACTATCATATTGTATTACATTTTGAACTTCAGTTAGTTTTATATATGTGTGTGTGTGTGTGTACATGCAGATATATGTTTGAATGTGTGTGTGTGTGTATATATATATGAGTTGGTGAACAGAATGAAATCTCAAATGTAATCAATTATTAGGTATTCCAGAGGTACCGTCAATGATAGGTTAATATTTTGGATTTGGATCTCTCCAATAATTTTTTTCTCACCAATTCAAGTCCTCATCCAATGATCAAAATCATATTTGGTTTCAAACACAATTTAATGTAAACAAAGATGGTGGTTTTTTCATAACCATCATATTTAGAAGAGGTTCCAAGTCCCATTTTTTTTTTTGTAACCATTCAGAATAGAAGAGACGACAATAATAGCAACAATCAGAACTGAAACATTAGTGATTAAGAAAAAAATAATAATAATAAAGTCAGTGGTTTAATTTAATGCTGACTTTTAGGCAAATCATGGCTTGAATTATGGTGAACCGGCGGTCCGTCGACGTTATCCAGTTATTGGATTACCCGGGTGACGGTCCATTATATATGCGAGACTTCTTATTAGAATTTTGAAATATAATAAAATATTTCATTAGATACAGCCTTTTGAAATATTATAGCTTGAAGTAAAACTGTCTATTCAAAGACAAGCCTAGGGTATTGGCGGTTTGGAAGGCACTAGAATATACTGAGCGTCAACGTAAATGAACGGCATATGATTCAAGAGTATACACATCTAAAATATGTGAAAGAGACCATTGTCATGGGTGAAAGAGGACCATCGTCATGTGTACGATTTTCTACCACACAAAAATATGACTAAAGTATAATATTTTTAAGGATTAAGTGTAAAAAAAATTTCTAAATTATTGCTCTTTTGTAAATAACTTCCTAAATTAAAAATTATCCTTCCCCTAAATTATTGATTTGTTGTAATTAAAGACAAATACACCACAAAATACTATTTTATCCATTCTCATTAAAATTTTCACTTCTTATAAAATTATTTTTATTATCTTTTCTCTTATTTAAATATTAATTATACTATTTACCTTAATTTATTTTTAGTATCAATTTATCATAAAAAAATAAAAAAATAAAAATTGTAACTACCATTTTTTAAATTGATTAACTTATTATTAAAACTTTATTATTTATAATAAAACGTATCATAACTGATTTAAACATTTTTATCGTAAAACAAATATCATATTTTTCATACAATATATTGATGAAAAATTAATAAAATACTTTTTAAAAAAATACCTTCTTTTCAAAAAAAAAATTGTAACTACCATTTTTTAAATTGATTAACTTATTATTAAAACTTTATTATTTATAATAAAACGTATCATAACCAATTTAAACATTTTTATTGTAAAACAAATATCATATTTTTCATACAATATATTGATGAAAAATTAATAAAATACTTTTGAAAAAAATACCTTCTTTTCATGTAATATATTCATTAAAAATTAATTAATTTTTTTAAAAAAAATTTAATAATTTCTTTTATTTAAATAATTAATTACAAAATTAAAGGTAAATTTATACAAATTTAATGAAAAATATCTCATCAAATTATTATGAATTTTTTCATAATTTAATTAGATAAGAAAAATATATTAAATGTAATTCAATAAGAATGAGCATTATAGTCATTTAATGAAATATAGTATAGTTTTTGGGTATGTTACAACAAATTAAGATAGTTTAGAAGGTTTTATGCAAAAAATATAGTTCAAGTGGGTTATTGATAAGCGCTGAATATTGCATATTCAAGCGTCCTTAGCTGCATTAGTTAAATCCATTATTTGATTATTCTTTATAAATTATCTTTATTTGCACGTTTTTATATATTTTCAGATTCATTAGTCAAAAAGGAGCAAAAATGGTATTTTATTCAATCTTTGAATAGCAATGTGCTCAAGGCTAAGTTCTGGCAGCAGTGGAATCTGACTTTGCTCGCCATTTTTGATCGATCAAACTCGAGAACTGAACTTCCATTAAAACATGACATATTTAGAACTTCGAATTAACTTTCCAAATCTTCAAACGGTTCGTCATTTGGAGTTCGGAGCAGAAAGTTATGGCTGTTCTACCAAAGTAGTGCAAAACAGGTCAAGAGGAAGGAGTTCACTGATCTAACTTCAAGCGCTCGAAGTGCTAGTTCGAGCACTCGAAGTGCTTAGTTCGAGCGCTCAAACTATGGGCAGATTCCTCTTCAGGAACCATCACTTCAGCCCACTTGCACCTTGTTTCCCTCATCTCTGATTTCCATCTTTATGGGTTGGTTGGAGATGTCTTTTGGTGGTTTTTTGTGCCTTGTTTGGTGGAGAGAAATGTCTATAAAGGAGGGGAACCACACAAACAAGAGGATATATCTTATCTTTGCAAGATTTGTGGAGAGAGAAAGAAGAGGAAAAAGATAGAGTTCTTGAAGCCAAGGAAAGGGAGCTCGAAAATGGAGGTTGCAACCAAGCTTCTTCCTTCTTCTAAAGCTTCCATGGGTAACTAAACCTCCATCTAAGGAGGTGATGAGGCCCCTCCCTTGTAAGCATGTTCTAATTTAGGCTATATTTTGGGGATTACAATGTATATTCTTTGGTCTTTTCATGGTCTAGAGCATTTTGCCTTTTGTAATGGATCTTCATGTATTTAAATGATTAATGTTGAGTCAATTATCTATCTTTGATGGTTTATTCTTTTAATCATGTTGCTTGCACTCTCATGGTGACAATGGTAGTGAGATTATGGAATTGTTTTAATAGCATAGAGTTGGAGGACTTTGATAGAACATTGCTTAGGTGAAACCTTTGATGATTTATGCTTATTTCTTACCTTCATGTGCTTCATCATTTTATCTAAGGCTTGATAGTCTTTCATTCAAGTAAATGTGGTTAAGCTACACCTTAGTTAGGTAGTCTAAACATGTTAACCTTTGATGGATTATGCTTGCTTCAGATTTAATGAACTTCTTGAGGATATTATAGCAACCAAATGTGCTATGTATCATGACCATATATATATATATTGTTTTCCCCCAATTTAGCTCTAATCTAGCATGTGTATAGGGATGGAGGCGGATTCACTTCCCTAGTCCTCTTTACTTGTATTTCATCTCCCTTCAACTCTTGCAAACTTTTACTTTATGCACTTTAATTTCATAGCTTAAGTGACAACCAACAAATCATCTATGAACACCTCTATCATTCTAAAAAGACTCTAGACACTTAGGTTGCCATAGATTAGCGCAGTCCCAGTGGTTCGACTTACCCGACCAATAGCCCTATTTTACAATGATTCGTGCTATTGCGAAGGTTGATTTATAATTGTAATCGACTCAACCGATCAGTTATTTGCAAATTCAAACATAGTTCAAGGGGTTTTTTTGCACTTTACCCTATTTTTAATACTATGGTTAAGTATTAACTAGAATAGTCACTCCAATGGTTACAACACATTAACCTCAACATTATACACGAGAAGTTTATGTATTACTAATTGTTTAATCACAAATAAAATTTTTAGGAAGATCATAGTAACTGATAAAACTTAGCAGATATTAAGTGCGATATCAGTAATTTTATAAATAGGTGAGCTAATTTTTTTTTTTTTTAAATGATGCATTATTATTGGTCGGGCATATCAATGACTTGATATATTTGTCACATCCAAAATCTACTCGATAAAACTATACCGTGTTGAATCTTTCAAAGCTAAGTGGGAGTGTGGCGTTGATGGTTGAACATGTAAGCTTCAGAAGATAAAGATAAACTTAAGTGAACCTACTCTGAATTTATCAAGTGATTGGGAGTACAAAAATTTCAATAAATTTTTTTGATAAATAAGCTGATATGGAGTAAATGACTTCTAGATGCAACTTCCAGAGCAACACAATACTCTAATGGAACACATTAACAATTATCATCTGTTACCTATACCTGCAATTTTACAAAGATTTTATTCGAGTAGTGGGGTCTTATTACAATAAGAGAGAAGAGAATATATATTGCTGAAAACTTCTTAAAGTTCAATGAAAACTCAAGCAGATCAATAGAATAGTGTGGCAGAATGTCTTACCTCCTACTGACCCGTTGTGCTCACCCCTTATATTACCATTTTTAGGCCACGAAAAAAAAGTGGCAAACGACGTTCCACCACAGACTTAGGTAGACTAGTGGACCATTTGTTATCTTTTGTAATTGGAATCCCACTTTGTGTAAAGTATTGTGTGACATGTATAGCTTTGTAACTCATGGCCTTGTAATTGTAACCATGAATCTTTTGTAGTAATTTTGATGTAAGTCAGGCTATTTTGTAAATGGCCATTGAATTATGTAAAGAACTAAGTTGGTACATTTGGGGTGAATGGGATGACGATGAAGTTAATGACTATGGGGCATTGTATCTTATTTGTTGTAAGTTGGGGATAGGTTTTATAACAGGTTTTAGCTGACGAATGAGCTCGGTTAGATACAGGACCATTGAAGCCATAACCTGCAACTTTCAGGGCCTGTCGGCAGGCTGGCAAGTCGATCGACAGTGCATTTCGAGGCCAGGTAGTGAGTTGAGTTGCTGAAACCATTGTTTCGGCCGGCTGACTAACTTCGAAATAAATAAATAAATAAAAATATTTATAAGAAATTATATATATATAGATTATTGTTTTATAATAATAATTATATATATATATATACACACATTATATTTTTGCATAATATTTAAATAGTAATACTATATTATATAGTATAGTTAGACTATATTTAGACAACACAATGTTCAATGGACAAAAGGAATCAGCGGCTAGTTTTCTTGGTTTTAAAGCATTGCCAGCAAATTCAGAACAGCTAATGCTAGAAAACCCAACACCAAATCCAAGTAATATGAACAAAAAGAGGGACATTTTGTGTTCTAGGGCTTTCAAACAATATTTGCTCAAGAACCTATTTGGGTTGGATTGATTTAGTTGAAGGTTTTGACAAAGAAGATATAAAATATATATTTTTGACTTGACAGTTGAATTATTGGAGGGAATCAGATTTGAAGTGGGTGGTCATAACTGATTTTGAAATGTCAAATGTGAATGTTGAGGGTGAGTATTTGGACTTCTAAGCATTCCATCATTAAAAACTGATTTAATGATTAATTTTTATATATATTTTATTTTTAGTAATGAATAATCCACCTAAGGGCCTGTTTGGGAAGTGTTCTATTGTGTTTTGTAATGTTCCAGGCCCGCTACAGTAGTCCATTTTGAGAACAAAACATGTTTGGGCCGGCCTGTGTTGGTTTCAACAGTGCCAGAACATTTTCTAGAAATGGGCCAAAAGTTGGAACACCAATTTGGTGTTCTGGCTTGTTCCAAAAATTCAATCGGCCCAAAAATCACTGTAGCGGGTGCAACAAATGCACCCGCTTGTTCTGATTTGAGAACATGCATAAAGAGAAATTGGGTACATGTTCTAGGGCTAGGGTTCTCGCGCAACTGAGGCGATTCGGCGACTCCAGTACGACTGACGTCTTCTACAAATTGACGACCCTATTTCATGGTGACCTCCTCTGGATCTTCGTATTTCATATGTAACATACTTAATCCTTCTTCTCTCTCCAAAATTTCGAAGGGTGTGTGAAAATTGGGCTTAAATCGACGACTGTGTATGAAGATCTGAAGAGCTCTCACTTCATCGCGTCTCTCTCCACTCTCGGATTCTTTTCTCTCTTTCTCCGGTCGATTTAAGCCAACGATAAACGCCGGCAGCCATCTCCAGCGACGGTTTGGCAAGAAAATTTTCAGAATCTCCCCAAGCTCTCTATCTCTATTTCCCCATCTCTCTTATCTCGGGTATGTTTCAGTTTTTCTAGGTTTGCTTTATGCTTTTAAATCATACTTAATAACAATAATGTTGAAGCATTTTATCAATCAACCAAGATGATTCCTCATCTCAACAAATAGGCATGAAAATGAGATTCAAATTGAAGAAGGTAACAGATTTAGGAAATATAACAGAGAAACAAACTTCAGTTTTCTAAAATTTTCAAGAACTATTACAAATAATATATCTCTAACTGAATAGGATATCCTTAATTTGTTTGTACGCATTACCTTGATTGGCTCTTTGATTTCTATCTGTAGAATGCTAGCCTTTTCTCTGATCAACTAGAGTTTTTTTATAATTTTGTTTTTAATTTTTTTGAGAGAATTTTGATTTGGGCACAGGCAGTATAATCAATATAATTTTGTTTTTAATTTTTTTTGAGAGAATTTTTAATCAATGTATGCATGTTTGAAATCGGTATTTGCAATCAATTCAATAAAAAGAGTTTTGCAAAAATCTGCGTATGTGAAGTTATAGGCTGTGGATATAAAGTTTTTTTTTTTTTTTAATGGACTGAGTAGAATATTACTCTATTAGCTAATGTTTATGATTTTTTTCTTTTTTCCTTCCTCCATACTTTACATATGTATATTAATACTATATATATCATACACACAAATTCAATTTTTTTTTGTTTCTGTGTTTGTCTTCATTTAGTTGATAGAAACCAAGAAGGGAACTTTCCCATGTAGCTAAAATGAATACTTTCAAAGGAAAGGATTAAGGTTCAATGGGAAGAACCCATATGTAGATCAATTAGAATGTTATTTGAATTGGTTTTTTTTTTATGAAGTTACATAGTTACATGGTTATTAGTTGCTTAGAGTTATAATGAAATGATTGCTTTTTGAAACCTTAAAACTTTACCTCTAATTTTTGTGAAAAGAAAAGCACCTTAATAACTGGCTTGCGCTCTGTTTTTAATGCATGAATTATTGAAACTACTGATCATAAAATCTTACATATGAATTGGTAAAGTTTTGACTTCCAATAATTTTCTACATTTGTGCTTCTCTGATATTATTCAATTTTGATTGAAAATAAGGTTTGGAGAGTATCTTTTAGTTTTTTGTTCTTATGCAAACAAGTAATTACAAACAAAAATTTACTGATGATATGTAGATTTATTAGAAAACTGGTTCAGCTGATGTGTAGTAATCTAGTAGATGGGATAAGTTCCTATTTTCCTTTCTATTTTGGGTCTGCATTGTGGTTCTTGTGTGACCCTACTTGTTGCTCTTAGTATTAAAAAATTTTGTTTTATATCTTAAGTGTGGAATATATTCATGTTTAATTTGAATTAGAAAATGTTGAAGCTGAAAAAATCTTTGTATTTTAGTGTTAACATAATGAAAAATATTGCCAGATGGATTATTAACATAGGGCAAAGACAAAATATTTTTATTTTACTTTGTATGTTAGTGTTAACATAAGACCATGTTGTAATTACTATGTATGATAGTTTAAAAAAGAAAGATTGAAGAATGTCACTGAACAATGATAATTTATGGGATCACTGTTGTTAATGACCCTTTTAAACCATTCTTATTAAAACTATGTAATTAGATGGAGATTAATGGTGAGAATGTGGTTGGAGAAGAAATAGAGAACCTTATAGACAATAGCGACGATGGAAAACTAGTATGGGATAATTCTCAGCTCGAAGCTTTCATCATCTGTATGGAGGAAGAAGTGAAGGTTGGAAATCGGAGTAGCGGAACTTTTTGTCCAGCTGGTTGGAAGAATATGGTAAAAGGTATGAGGGTCCGTATAGGAAAAAAGTATGAACTGAAACAACTTAGGAGCAAATTCAACCACGTGAGGGTAGAGTACAAAGCATTTGTGAGTTTGTTAGCAGAAACAGGCGTAGGATACAATGTTGAGATGGGCATGGTTATAGTTGAAACAGAAAGATGGCCTAAATTGATGAAGGTTAGTTATTCAAATAAATGTATGTTCATTTGAGAAATGTATATTTAACTTAATATTAATAGTACTTTAATAATTTGTAGGTGAATACCCATTATGGTAAGTTTCGAAAGAAGTGATGGAAGCATTTTGACAAGCTCACCACCATATTTGGAGGCACACATGCTACAAGTGCACATGTCCATACTTCGACTAATCCACCCATTATCAACCAAGCCCCCGCACACCATGCCGCCATACATAGCTCATTTGAAATTGATGATTTACCTGAGTTAGGCGGTCGTGAGATCAGTCCTTCTCCTGAACCTCATGGTAAGAAACCAAAGAAAGAGAGTTTTGCATCCACAATGAGCAATGTCATGCGTGAAATGAAAGATATTAAATGAGAGAAATGTGATTGAATTGAATGGGCCCTAAAAGAAGCTTCATCATCTAATAATATGAAAACAGTCCACGAAGAATGTCAGGTTGAAGTAAATTCTCCGGACAAGATAAAAGGTGATTTTAAGTTATGTTGTAGTATTTTGAATAAGTCGGAGGGCGTTGATATGAAACAATATGCTAAGGTCACCTAGATGTTACATAATGATGAAGTTTGGAGGGAGTTCTTTCTGAATGACTTTCCTAATAATAAAAGGGTTGGTTGGATCATGAATATTTGATTTGGTGTGTTGCTTTTATTATGACTTTGGATGACTGTACTATTAAGTATACTTTATTTGGTGTATTGTTTTTATTTCTCATTTGATTTTGTTGTGACTTTGGATGATTATAATATTAAGTACACTAGTATTTATGTTATTGGGATGATTGTAATGACAATATCAGTATTTGGCTTGGGATGATTTTATTTGCTGTCTTCTTTTATTTCTTATTTAGTATTTGGCTTGGGGTGATTGTAATTTATGTCGTTTCTTACATTTTGTGTTATACGGATGGATATTAGAACAATAATTAAGTTGTATGATGATGATGGCAACAATGAATGTGTCATCATAATGGCATGTATGTTGGATTATTATATGAAATATTACCATAAACAACCTTGTAGGGATTCACTTTTAACCGGGGAAGCATGTATAGTGGAGATCTTGCACGGGCATGGAAGTAGATGTTTTGAAAACTTCAGGATGTCCACCCTTATTTTTTTGAAGTTGTGTGGGGAGCTTAGGTCATTAGGATTGAAAGACTATACAGGTGTAAGTGTTTATGAACAAGTTGGCATATTTTTGCTTACTTTAGCTCATAATGAAATGAATCGTGTGGTAGTAGAAAGATTTCAACACTCTACCTATACAATTTTAAAACACTTTCGTTCGGTTTTACAAAAAGTGTGTGATTTAGGGAAAAAGATTATTGTACCCCCAGATTTAACCAAAGTTCTTAACCATATAAGGAAGTAAAAAAAGTACCACTTTTTTTTAGGAATTGCATAAGGGCAATTGATGGAACTGATATTCATACGAACTTGCTTGTGGACCAGCAAATACCATTTCGTGGAAGGAAGGGGATACCACACAAAATGTAATGGCTATTTGTGATTTTTTTATGATGTTCACGTACGTCGTAGCAGGATGGGAGGGGTATGCTAATGATTCTAAGATATTGAACGAGACCATTAATAATGAGGATATGCATTTCCCAAAGCTTCTAGACGGTAAATGGCATACTTTCTACAATTTTGGAATAGTTATTTTAAATATCATGGTACAATTGTTTATAATTTGTAAAATGGCTGGAAAATATTATTTGGTGAACTCCGGGTATGCCAATCAACCGGGTTTCTTGGCTCCCTACAAGAGTCAATGGTACCACTTCTAAGAGTACCGTTGAGCTTCTCGGCAACCCCAAGGTAGAAGGGAAATATACAATCACAAGCACTCGTCTTTGCGAAATATCATTGAGCGTTGTTTTGGGATGCTTAAGATGAGATTCCATATCTTGAAACAAATGCCCCCATATAAGTTTGAAGCTCAAGTTGCTGTTGTTTTAGCCTATTACACACTTCACAACTTTATAAGAAATGAGGCCCATGTAGATGCAATATTTGATAATACAACTGTGGAGGCGATGATAGATGAAATATTTAAAGATGATAATGATGATGTTCAGGCTAATGTGTCACAGTCTCGCTCACGACCAATGGATATTTTACGTGATCATATTGCTAATAATATATGGAATACATTTCAGCACCCTTGAAATTGCATTTAGATATTTATCATATTTGGATAACTCTAATAACTACTTTATTATAATTATTTGTTACTATTTGTACAACTGTAATAACTACTTTATTTTAACTATTTGTTAGGATGGATAACTGTAATAACTACTTTATTTTAACTCTCTTTTACGATTTCAATAAATGTAATAAGTTGTGATAACTATATTTTGCATTCTCCTTTTTTTTTATTTTTTATTTTTTTTATTTTTTTATTTTATTATGATTTAGATAACTATAATAACTTGTATATGCAGTTATGTATAAGATACAGGATGACGGGTCACCTTGTGCATGTGGAAGGGGTTGAATGAATCTTTATACAGTTGGAACTTCAAAGAATTATGGACGTTCATTCTATAGATGTCTAGCTTGGGGGATATACAGTTTTCTTTACATTAATAATTTTTTATACGTACATTTTATTGTCACAGGGGCATTATAATAATATTCAAGTCTTTGATACTTTAGTCACATGCTCGTGCATTTATATGGTTGGATGTCATGCACCAACGTCTGCAAGTGGGTGGTCATGTGGAGCAAGAGTTGGAGAATGTAGTTGTTGTTATGCAAGCTCAACAAAATCAGCAGAACTACATTATCTAAGATTGGTGTTGTTGTCTTATTGTAATTATATTATTTATCTTATTGCTCATGTTGTTGTTATTGGTTATTATGCATGTTGATAAATGATGTAATATATTAATTCAATTTTACTTCATGAACTTTTATTGTGCATGTTGACAAATGATGTAATATTTATGAAACTCATGTCTGTAATATCTTCAAATTTATGTAATGTGTAATATGTTGAAAGTTTATTTCAGTTCGATATTGAAATAATGTGTTCACAACTGTCAAATAATATGCAGCATTCATAGGTTTTACAAATTAGAATGTATTTTATTGGTTTTTATAATAAAATAACATAAACTTTTAACAATAAATATATGAAAAGCTATATCAATTGTATACTAAAATTATACAATAATTATATTTTACTTTATATTTAATAAAGTTATAAATAATGTATTGATGAAAAAATTATTTAAAAACACTCTCTACTAAACATATTTCATATTTTTGTTTTACTGATTTTAGTTACACTTTCACTCTGCCAAACATGTTTTATTCTCATATTTCCTGAAACGAAATACCTCGCCAAATATGTTTTATTTTCATTTCAGAATACTACATTACAAAACACTTGTTCTGTTCTATACTAAAACAAAAAACTACAAAACACAACACTTTTCAAACGAGCCCTAAGAGCTAATCACTTTGGAATATTCAGAAGCTCGAGCCCTTGGGGACTTTTCTTAACCATTTCTCCAAAATCACCACTAAATCAAAGGAACAAGAAAAGGGACATTTTGAGTTCTAGGGCTTTCAAACAAATTTTGGTCAAGAACCCTTTTGGGTTGGCTTGATTTTGTTGCAGAATTTGAGATTCAAATAAATAAAAAATCAATAGACCTATCTAATAAAATATATTTTGTGTTTTTACTGTTGAATTATTGGAGGGAAGCAACTTGGAAGTTGGCTGTCAACTGATTTTGAAATGGGGATGTCTACAGTGTGTGCTTACTTGGACCTATAAACAGCCCATCATCTTAAAAAAAAAAAAAAAAAAAAAAATTGTTAAGGCTCCGTTTGTTTGGACGTAAAATATTTTTCAGAAAATATTTTTTTTATTTTCTGGTGTTTGGTTGTCATAAAATATTTACAAAGAAAAAAAATATTAAAATTTAACAAAAATAACTTATTTATCAATTTTCGACAAGTTATTTTACATGTTCGGCTCGATAAACTCGACTTCAATCTCGATATAAATCTTTGCCAAACACTGATAAAGTAAAAATTAAAGAATATTTTATCTGAAAAAATATATATTTTCTAAAAAGAATATTTTACGTCAAAACAAAAGGAGCCTAAAAATGCATTAAACACACCATCAACTGTTGATTGTTAGCAAGTGCCGTTTTGTTACGGTGGTTGAGTTGCTCCCTTTGTTTAGAAACCCGTACAAGCCTTCTACCAACTACCCCCTAATATTTAGAAAAAAAATAAAATTAAATAATGGTTGACGCTACACCAAAATTCAATTAACACTCACCTCATTTGGAATTTTTTGTCATACTCGGATTATGCAATCTAACACTTCAAAACTACAAATAATAGAGAACTCAGTGGAAATGATCTGCGACCCATACCTAAGAGTCATTCTCAAGACTTACTTGCAAGTTCCAATTATTATATTAAAAATATTTTTTATTTTATAAAATAATAATTTTCAAAAAAAATGTTGGCCCAGTAGACATGAAAATAAGATCCTTTGTGTGTGCGCAAATACTACTAAACAGGCCCAATGTAACTGTAGACTTGTAGTGCAGTCAGTGGTTTGTCAACAGGCAATTTCATGGGCTTGTAATTAAACCTGTGACGGACCAAATTCCCAACAAGCTTATCAAGATTTCACAAAGGGTTTCAAGCTATGTCACAAAGATTTCATGGGCTTGTAATTAAACCTGTGATGGCCCATTTAAAAAGTTTCATTAAAAGACCCAAAACTCTTCCGTTTTTTCTTAAAAGAACATTTTGGAGAAATTGGGGGCACTAGTTTCCCTAAAATGTTCTTCTAAGACTTAAAAACTCCTTTTTAAAACTAGCTAAATGCTACACAAAACAGCTTCTAAGTCTGAAAAGCCAAAAACATCATTTGAAAAACCAATCCACATAGACCCTAAACCTCTTTACTGTGAAAGAGTCCAGTTTGGGCCTGTAAAGGAAGCTCCATTGTCCACCCACTAAGAAGAAAAATTGCATATCTGGGTAAGTCTTGAAGCCCAACTCTGAATGGATAGAGTGATCCAGGATTACCAATTTAGTTGACGCCTCTATTTAATGTGCAAATTGGCAAGACCAAAGGCATTGGGATTAGGGAGGGGTGCAGAATTTGGGATGGACACTTGGATGTACAAGACAAAAGTAGTAGACTAACCTCTCTTTTGTTTTTCAAAATTATACCAACCTCTTATGAGTTAAAAAGAGTAATGCTACAATTAAAGAGAATTTAACAAAAACTCTTATAATATTATACTCTCGTCCTAAAATAATTGTCTTAATTTTTTTGTTTATTTTAAAATAATTATTTATTATTCTTTTTCAAATAATACTTAAATATTTAAAACTTAAAAGAACAATTTAATAACTTTTCAAAGAAATAATGAATGTTTCATATGTCTTTAAGAATTATTATTTTCAAAAAATAAAACTTAAATTAAAATGAAGGAAGTATAAGAATAAATTCATTTCTCATAAGAAATTTATTTCATTACTTATCACATCACTCGATAATAATGACATATTCATATATTTATCTTTTCTTAATTTTATTTTATTTTTTAAGCGTAAATTTGCCAACTTCCCACGAATGACAGTTTCAAAATACCAATTTTCTCCTTATCTTTTCACAAAGGTGCTGGAAATTTCGCGGTATGTTTGGCCGATTATAAAAAAGATGAAATACCAAATGTGAAATGGAAAAGGAGTCTGGATAGTTCTCTTGGCTGAACCCTCTCTCTCTCATCTCGTTGAGCATTCGCAGAACCCTAATCACTTGATTGTATCTATTATCTTCGAC